TGGTAGAGGCAGTCAGTCCCTTCTTCCCTCGTATCTTCTGTATAGTGAGTATATGGTAGAAACAGACACAACTTCCGTCCCCCTCCCTCTCTTGTGCAGTTAAGTAGATGAAAGGGGCAGCCAGACCCCTTTTTTACCCCTCTCTTGCGTAGTGAACGGATAGTGTAAGTGCAACTAAAACACACGCACACACACACACACACACACACAACACACACACACACACACACACACACACACACACACACACACACACACACACACACACACACACAGGGAGAGAGAGGAGTGCTGAATTTCTCAAAAAATCCGCAAATGTTACAACAGAGAAAAAATATACGCTGAGAAATGGCCGACACAGAGCAGAAACTAAAATTTTCGTGTCAGATAAAAAAAAATGCTCAATAGTATATTTGGAAAACTCTAAATGTCATTTTTATATAGGAAAAATCTAAGTCTAAAAATCTCTTTCAGCACTGAGCGAAATCCTGAAACGTTATTAATCTGTGTTCAGCAATCCAGTCATTTTGAGAGTCGAAATGAATTTTCATCACCTAGGCCAAAGTTACATATTATATATGTATAGTCCCTTTATATAAAGGGAAAGGGGACAAAAGAGATTGTAAAAATTATAGAGGAATAAGTTTACTGAGTATACCAGGAAAAGTATACGGTAGGGTTATAATTGAAAGAATTAGAGGTAAGACAGAATGTAGAATTGCGGACGAGCAAGGAGGTTTGAGAGTGGGTAGGGGATGTGTAGATCAAGTGTTTACATTGAAGCATATATGTGAACAGTATTTAGATAAAGGTAGGGAAGTTTTTATTGCATTTATGGATTTAGAAAAGGCATATGATAGAGTGGATAGAGGAGCAATGTGGCAGATGTTGCAAGTATATGGAATAGGTGGTAAGTTACTAAATGCTGTAAAGAGCTTTTATGAGGATAGTGAGGCTCAGGTTAGGGTGTGTAGAAGAGAGGGAGAATACTTCCCGTGTAAAAGTAGGTCTTAGACAGGGATGTGTAATGTCACCATGGTTGTTTAATATATTTATAGATGGGGTTGTAAAAGAAGTAAACGCTAGGGTGTTCGGGAGAGGGGTGGGATTAAATTATGGGAATAAAATTCAAAATGGGAATTGACACAGTTACTTTTTGCTGATGATACTGTGCTTATGGGAGATTCTAAAGAAAAATTGCAAAGGTTAGTGGATGAGTTTGAGAATGTGTGTAAAGGTAGAAAGTTGAAAGTGAACATAGAAAGAGTAAGGTGATGAGGGTATCAAATGATTTAGATAAAGAAAAATTGGATATCAAATTGGGGAGGAGGAGTATGGAAGAAGTGAATGTTTTCAGATACTTGGGAGTTGACGTGTCGGCGGATGGATTTATGAAGGATGAGGTTAATCATAGAATTGATGAGGGAAAAAAGGTGAGTGGTGCGTTGAGGTATATGTGGAGTCAAAAAACGTTATCTATGGAGGCAAAGAAGGGAATGTATGAAAGTATAGTAGTACCAACACTCTTATATGGATGTGAAGCTTGGGTGGTAAATGCAGCAGCGAGGAGACGGTTGGAGGCAGTGGAGATGTCCTGTCTAAGGGCAATGTGTGGTGTAAATATTATGCAGAAAATTCGGAGTGTGGAAATTAGGAGAAGGTGTGGAGTTAATAAAAGCATTAGTCAGAGGGCAGAAGAGGGGTTGTTGAGGTGGTTTGGTCATTTAGAGAGAATGGATCAAAGTAGAATGACATGGAAAGCATATAAATCTATAGGGGAAGGAAAGAGGGGTAGGGGTCGTCCTCGAAAGGGTTGGAAAGAGGGGGTAAAGGAGGTTTTGTGGGTGAGGGGCTTGGACTTCCAGCAAGCGTGCATGAGCGTGTTAGATAGGAGTGAATGGAGACGAATGATACTTGGGACCTGACGATCTGTTGGAGTGTGAGCAGGGTAATATTTAGTGAAGGGATTCAGGGAAACCGGTTATTTTCACATAGTCGGACTTGAGTCCTGGAAATGGGAAGTACAATGCCTGCACTTTAAAGGAAGGGTTTGGGATATTGGCAGTTTGGAGGGATATGTTGTGTATCTCTATACGTATATGCTTCTAAACTGTTATATTCTGAGCACCTCTGCAAAAGCAGTGATAATGTGTGAGTGTGGTGAAAGTGTTGAATGATGATGAAAGTATTTTCTTTTTGGGGATTTTCTTTCTTTTTTTTGGGTCACCCTGCCTCGGTGGGAGACGACCGACTTGTTGAAAAAAAAAAAAAAAATGTCTACTACAAGTGCCACATCAGCTAGGCTGTGGTAACTGTATGTGCCTGCAGGCCGCTAGCACCAACAACTTGGATACTAGGGCAGTCAACAAGGAAGTGAGGCTTCAGGCCAGGATGAAGGGATAAAAGAACTCTTGAAACCAGTCACAGGTATGTCATCTGTTTTTACATCTAGGTGAACATATGTAGCAGGGGTGAACATATGTAGCAGGGGTGAACAAGTGCAGCAGGGGTGAACATGTGTAGCAGAGGTGTAAAGAACCTTGTCAATCCTAGCACCAAGACTGGGAATCAAACCTTGCGAGCCAAATGTTTGCCAGTGAGCTAAACGTGATCTTGGTGGTAGTGGAGGCAGCCACGGGAAATAATCTCCGTGAGCTCCTGTAAAAACGTTGATCCTCCACTCAATATTTTTAACAAATTAATGTTTAGCTAATTACAATGCATTAAAAAAATTTAAGTGACCCATATTCGGTATCTGTTATTCATTATACGTTAATTTTCCAACAGTTGGTATTTTCTAAGATGGAAAAATCAGGTGACGCTGCATGAGAAAGCATACGCATTTACTAAAAAAGAATTATATTTGATAATTATAAACTTATTACAAAATAACAAAATTACAGTACATTTGTGATTATAGTATAGGCTAGGCTAGAAATAATGAGCCGCTTAACTAAAGTTATCTTAAACGATTTAATTTTATTTACAACATCGGTGGTGTCTCCCCCAAGGTATGGTGACTAAAGGACACAATCACTGATTCAACAGTTGTCTCACCGTAAGTGTGGGAACATCTAATTTCCACCGACACTTTGAACGGCATCATCCTCCTCCCATCCATCAGTGGAAGATGGTCAACTCTTCTGACGCCCTTCTGTGCAAGACACCCGACAGCAACACCCTCTCTTTCAAAGTGAACAAGAAATCCACTAACAAGGACACGATGCACCTCAGCTTACACAACACGCACTTCAAGAGGGGACTAGTGATTGGATTCTTTCTAAGAGCTCTTCATATGTCATATATCCGTAAAAGTCTTCACTTCCCCCACGTTCTTCATCACTGACGGCAGACGAAGAGTTCAGAGTTTGAATACTTATACATGTACTTCAAACCACACCACAGAGATAGTCTACTGTCTGGTGATGTAGAGCACTTACCAAGAGTGACTTCCGTCAACGGAGCCAGGATAGCTACCGCGTCCATCAGTGATCTCACCAGGAAGTGATCTATGGTTACTTGAACAGTATCGTTGGTGTGCACTATCCTGTGTGAACAGTGCGACAAGAAGTATGTGAGACTGTATATTAGGATCAAGGAACATGGGTTGACTAACCTCTGGTACAATATTCTGAGTGTTGTTGTAGCGAGTTAACTAACCTGTGGTTTAATATGCTGGGTGCAGAAGTGAGTTAATTAGCTTGTGGTTTTGATGAAATTTTATTTTGTGAAGTTTGTTTAGCACTTTTTTCTTACTCGAGCTGATAGATCTAGTAAGAAAGTTTACTTTTTTTTTTTTTTAACAGAAACCTTAGTAAAAGTGTTTTATTATGATTATTACATGTATGAGGGTGATAAACCTGAACAGCGCCTGGGGAAATGGAAGTCAGCCAGATTCAATCCAAAGACAATACGTACAATTCCTTGGATCAAGAGCTCCTCTCCGGCATCAAATCACCTCCTTGGAGCGTAGTAAAAAAAAAAGAGCATTGACATCCTAACTGACAAGTTAAAATCATTTAAATGTTTAAAGAGGTTCAGACAGATAATTATACATAAGAAAAGTGAGCATCAGCAGGACAGGTGTTTAGCCAACTATTTATCAGTTTTATAAGGAAGAAAATAGCATTACTGACAACCGTACGTATTGGACTTGCATTCTTATGTATTTTCGATTAACCATGTATGTAGGCAAGAGATGCATTTGTAATGTTTAATTCCCGAACTCTCTCAGATTTCTTTATAGCCTTATTTACTTAAGTTTTAATTTTTAACTATATTCTCTTGGAAGTTGCAGTTTATTTAAGCGATCGTACGTTTTTATCTTTTTTTTTTTTTGTAATGCGAAACTTTTACCTATGGATTATACTAGCAAAAAAGTTAAGATTTAGTTGAGATTATAAGTTCGTCATTATTATTATTATTATTAAAGATTCGCCGGTATTCTCCCGGCCCGGGCCTTTTCCAAGTGGTGGCCCGGCCTTGGCTCCCTCTTTAGGGAGTGTCTGAGACCTAAGTCTCCCATGGGAGGAGGCACAAGGACCTCCTCATCTTTGGGACCAACTGTCCCCAGGCCTAGCCACAAGCTAGGCCTCTCTGGTCTGCCATCCCCGCCCCAAGGGGGCTAATGGGAATGACAGTCTTGTGAGCTAAAGGCTCGGGCTCAGGCACCTACCCTACCCTAGAAGGGCTGGGCATGGTGTGGATGAAGTTCGTCATATGTGGAATTTATTTAGTTACCTCACTTGCGTCCCACAACTCAGCAAGAACAAGAAAAGCAAACACACTTACCTAGTCGCATGATGGAGCAAATACAGCTTCACCTTGTAGTTAACATTATTATTACCTGTAGGTGGGGTAACTATGACTGCCTTACCAGCAGCGACGGCAGCAGCAGCAACAATAACAACAGCAGCGGTGGCAACAGTCGCGGCAGCATAAAATGGTATTAAATTTGATCCTCGTAAAAAAAAAACGCAATGTTTATACCAGTTGCTTACGATTAGCTCCTAGGGGACGGTATCTCAGCATGCGAAGTGTTGGGAAGAGGAGTGCAACAGCTGGCACCAACAGACAGGCCTACTGTTAACGATACAGTGCACACTCACACCAAGCGTAACAGACATACCAGGCCAAGTCTGGTAAGACCCCACAAGTGGCTACATCAGCAGTGATGGTATATGTTCACCGCCCGACGCAGCACGACTGGAGGGCGACGCGAGCCCAGCCACACACAACCCGCCCTCCACCCCATGGAACAAGACACTACCTGAAACAAGGCGAAGCCGAGACAGCTGGGACCCGGCAACGTTAACATAAACGTAAGTCAAGAAGGAAAGGAAGAGAAAGTGTATAGTTCAGATAGGAAATGAGATTTTGTTTATTAAATAATCAGAACAAATAAACAAAAACAGGTTTAACATAAAGACCGAGAGGAGGAAGAGTATAAATAAAGGCGAAACAAGAAGAGAGGTAAACGTAAAGAAGGCTTATCTTTATAGCCAATCAGGGCACTGACTGTCTTTTTATCGGATATTATGAAAGATAATATAGTAATGGTCTTTATTCCTATGTGTAATAATTCATAAATACATAAATATATGATTATATACATGAATATCTACTGACATGAATACATCTTCGCGTTTGCATGAATACATGTCCGTGTTTACATGAATACGTGTCCGTGTTTACATGAATACGTGTCCGTGTTTACATGAATACGTGTTCGTGTTTACATGAATACATGCTCGTGTTTGCATGAATACATGTTCGTGTTTGCATGAATACATGTCCGTGTTTACATGAATACATGTCCGTGTTTACATGAATACATGTCCGTGTTTACATGAATACATGTCCGTGTTTACATGAATACATGTCCGTGTTTACATGAATACATGTCCGTGTTTACATGAATACATGCTCGTGTTTGCATGAATACATGTTCATGTTTACATGAACATCCGAATCTGCATGAGAGTGTCTTCCATTGCAGACACTGCGGACATCAACCAAATCTTTCAGTGGGCTGCAGAAAATATGAAGTTCAACGATGAGAAATTTCAATTATTCCGATATGGTAAACATGAGGAAATTAAAACTTCATCAGAGTACAAAACAAATTCCTTCCACAAAATACAGCGAAAAACCAACGTCAAAGACCTGGGAGTGATCATGTCGGAGGATCTCACCTTCAAGGACCATAACATTGTATCAATCGCATCTGCTAGAAAAATGACAGGATGGATAATGAGAACCTTCAAAACTAGGGATGCCAAGCCCATGATGACACTCTTCAGGTCGCTTGTTCTATCTAAGCTGGAATATTGCTACACACTAACAGCACCTTTCAAGGCAGGTGAAATTGCTGACCTAGAAAATGTACAGAGAACCTTCACGGCGCGCATAACGGAGATAAAACACCTCAATTACTGGGAGCGCTTGACGTTCCTGAACCTGTACTCCCTGGAACGCAGGCGGGAGAGATACATGATTATATACACCTGGAAAATCCTAGAGGGACTAGTACCGAACTTGCACACGAAAATAACTCACAACGAAAGCAAAAGACTCCGCAGGCGATACAACATCCCCCCAATGAAAAGCAGGGGTGTCACTAGCACGGTAAGAGACAATACAATAAGTGTCAGGGGCACGAGACTGTTCAACTGCCTCCCAGCATACATAAGGGGGATTACCAATAGACCCCTGGCTGTCTTCAAGCAGGCACTGGACAAGCACCTAAAGTCGGTACCTGACCAGCCGGGCTGTGGCTCGTACGTTGGATTGCGTGCAACCAGCAGTAACAGCCTGGTTGATCAGGCTCTGATCCACCAGGAGGCCTGGTCACAGACCGGGCCGCGGGGGCGTTGACCCCCGGAACTCCAGGTAAGCGCCTCAGGTAAATTGTCACACAACTCCAGGTAATTATACTGGTTCATATACTGGTTTTTGGGAAGCACAATGAGTTCACCAACACACTGAGCACTGGAACACCCCCAAACCATGAGCGAGTCTGGGTGTTTGATGGTCCCACAGGTGTAGCGTGGGTCTAGCAGGTCACTGCCTCTGGGCCAGTACACATGTCCTCCACGGTTACAGGCAACAGTGAAAGTTGTTTCATCACTCTAACATACTTCAGACCACTGTTGAGGATTCCAGTGAAAATATTCCTTTGCATAATCCGGCCTACATTTCTTCTGTGGCTTGGAGAGGATCGGTTTCTTAACCTGGCAGTGACTACTGTAACCCAGTTCTGACACACATCTGTTAACAGTTCTTATAGACTCCTCTGAGAGATGATGTGGGTTCTTTTCTTTCAATTCTCTAACGGTTATCTTGGGTGTACTCTATTTATTTAGACATGATACATAGTTGTACAAGGAATTATAGTAGTTGGGTGTATTATGGGCAGGCTTAAAATTAACTTAAGATTAACTAAGCTATGATAGATTCAGTGGTAAAAATTACAGTAAATAATTTACAATTTGAAGTACAATTGAATATTTTAAACATTGCAATTTGAACATTTCAATTTTGAAGCATTATAGTTGTACAAGTTTGTAGCATTACAATGTATAATATAACAATGATCAATTTACTATATGTAGTCATACAATTTATTAATCAGATCAAATTGAATAAAATCAATGATTTGTAGTGCAGAAACAGTTCATATGGTCATTAGATGAGTTACTGTGCATTCAAGAGAATGGATCATTCTATTAGGTAATGCAATTAAAAACAGTTTGATAGGGTCACGGGTTTTACATTTATGAGACACAGTTATGAAATACAGTTATTCAATATGTATTGATCTTTGAGCATTTAATTATGGGGTTCTGAGGCTAGGGGAGTAACACAGTGTGTAATGATATTTTGATGCCTACGGTCTTGGAGATTTTCTTGGAAATTTGTTGTACATGTGTTTGAAATATCTATTATTTAGGTGGATTCCTAAGAATTTTCCCTCTATGAGCTTTTTGATAGGTGAACCGTTTATCATTATGTTAAGTGGAACATTTGTAGTTCTGTTCCCAAACTGAATGAAGTAGGTTTTTGTCAATATTGAGAGTAAGCTTGTTAATCATCATCCAGGTGAATATTTTCTGTAATTCAGTATTTACAGTATTGGCTAGTATGAGTGAGCTTGGGTGAGAGAAGACGTATGTAGTGTCATCTGAAAATAGTGTGGGTTTGAGTAGTTGAGATGCATTTGGTAGGTCGTTTACGTAAATGAGAAAGAGAAGTGGGCCAAGGACACCTCCCTGTGGGACACCAACTGTAATTGGTTGTGTGGAAGAGTTAGCTCCATTTGTGTACACATATTGGCTTCTGTTAGTAAGGTAAAACTAGGTAGTTGAGAGAGTGCCCTCTTATACCATAGTGTGATAATTTTATGTATAACAAATCATGGTCAACTGTATCAAAAGCTTTACGTAAATCAGTGAAGATTCCCAGTGGGACTTCTTTTTCGAGTGCAGTATATATTAGTTCTAGCATGTATGGTATGAACAGATGTCTTCTTCGAAGGGCCAGGACGAGGTTTGGCAGACAGTAACTCAACACCACCACAAACCTTGAAACACTGCACCCAGTTCCTCACTGAACACCAACATTCTCCACTAATTCTTTCGTCTGGTGCCCAGCTTTGTGAAACCCTATGATTTGAGCTATAGTTTCAGGCGTTAAAGACTTCCTTTTACCCATAATCAAACATGTATAGCCTCAAAACCAAAGGGAACACCAGACAAAAGATGGGGCGGATGACTGACAAGAGTGCAACAACTCCTTTCACCACGGCAGCCACGTGAGCACTGAGGAGTCACTGTGAAGTGTGGTGGCAGGCCGTGACATCATGCTAACGGCTACTACCCGGCATAATGCACTGACGAAAAAAAACTGTATGGTAGGCTTTTGACTTTCGTCATGGCATTATGCCGGGGCGCTCACCTAACATAATGCCGTGACTAACACTGTAGATTCCACTGTATAAAGGAGTGCTTATTGCACAATGGGTATTAAATAACACAGGAAGGTTAAATATTAATGCAATTTCACTGAGTAATGTCATTACTTGGCCTGTTTTGTTAGTAACTGGTTGTTAAAGGTACGATAGTGTACTCACTTATATGTGGTTGCATGGGGTCGATCAGCAGCTCTTGGCTCCGCCTCCCAGATTGTTGTATGTGTACTCACCTAATTGTGGTTGCAGGGGTCGATTCATAGCTCCTGGACCCCCTCTTCACTGGTCGCTACTAGGTCCACACACTCTCTGCTCCATGAACTTCATCATACCTCTTCTTAAAGCTATGTATGGATCCTGCCTCTACTACATTACTCTCCAGACTGTTCCACTTCCTGACAACTCTTGACTGAAGAAATACTTCTAACATCCCTGTGACTCATCTGAGATTTTATCTTCCAGTTCTGACCCCTGTTGCTGTGTCCCATCCCTGAAACATCCTGTTCATATCCACCTTGTCAATTCCTCTCAGTATTTTGTATGTCGTTATCATGTGTTCCCTATCCCTACTGTCCTTCAGTGTCGTCAAGTCGATTTCCCTTAATCTCTCCTTAGCTCCGGGACAAATCTTGTTGCAAACTCTTTGCACTTTCTTTAATTTCTTAGGTGCTTGACGAGGTGTGGTTCCTACTGTGTGTGTGTGTGTGTGTGTGTGTGTGTGTGTGTGTGTACTCACCTATTTGTGGTTGCAGGGGTCGATTCATAGCTCCTGGCCCCGCCTCTTCACTGATTGCTACTGGGTCCTCTCTCTTCCCCTGCTCCATGAGCTTTATCAAACCTCGTCTTAAAAATATGCATGGTTCCCTCCTCCACTACGTCACTTTCTAGGCTATTCCACTTCCTGACAACTCTATGACTGAAGAAATACTTCCTAGCATCCCTTTGACTTATCTGAGTCTTCAACTTCCAATTGTGACCTCTTGTTTCTGTGTCCCATCTCTGGAACATCCTGTCTTTGTCCACCTTGTCTATTCCGCGCAGTATTTTATATATCGTTATCATGTCGCCCCTGACCATCCTGTCCTCTAGTGTCGTCAGGCCAATTTCCCTGAACCTTTCTTCGTAGGACAATCCCCGTATCTCTGGGACTAGTCTTGTTGCAAACCTTTGCACTTTCTCTAATTTCTTGACGTGCTTGACCAGGTGTGGATTCCAAACTGGTGCTGCATACTCCAGTATGGGCCTGATGTAAATGGTGTACAGAGT